GAACCACCAAGTTATTTTAAACCTCTTACCCATTTTTGTCTATGACTTACTTTTTTTTAAATAGTTTATTGAGACAACATAATTTTTTTAAGGAACTTGGTTTTTTAAGACTGTTAATCTTTTTCATTGGCAATATTTACATTCTGGTCTTACGTGTCTTCCTCACTCTACAGTGGAAAAGTGGGAAGCAGCATGATCTACAGGATGTAAAGCACGACTGGGAAAATCCTGCGCTACCACCCTCATCCTCTGAAAATGGCTTATTTCCATGTGGATGTTACCTGTGTCCTATAGATGTTAGGTAGGTTTCTGATTCTGTGAGCTGCTGAAGGTAAACTAGGTTGGGATGCCTGTTAATCTGCCTTCCCAGTTGTCCCTTCATCATCCCTTTCGCTACTGAGCCTTTCCCCATCACGTGTCTGGAAATGAAGCAAGGCAAGAAGTTTGGGTGGTTCTGCTTCCTCAGGGAGCAGTGGAAGGAGTGGTGGTGGGAGAGGGGCTTTGTTCCAGTGAGGGGAGGCACAGGTACCACGGGTTGGAAGCACGCAGGCTGCATTAATTTGGCTGAATCGGCCTTTCACAGTGTTGTAGTATTGGGGGGCCGCTGGCTTCCCTCCTCGGGTGTTCACAAAAGGACACAGGCTCAGCATGAGAGCAGCTGCAGTGCCACTGGGCACGGTCGTGTACACACTGCATGATGTCAGAGGTGTGAAATAGGCTATGAAGGATTTAACTTTGCATGTCTGCTCCTGCTACTGAGCCTATCTTCTGGGTGACAAGAACCTTGACATAGGAATAGCATAAAACAGCTTTTCACAGCAGCAAAGACGTCACCATTTGTCTGTCCCAAAGTTAAACCCATCACAGGAAAATGTCCGAATTGTCTGCATCTGGCTTCTTTTAGTAACAAAGCTTCATTATAGGGGTGTCTGTCTCATGTACAGCAGTTTATGCAACATTGTTGATAAAGGAAGGGCCTGTGCACTTCAGGGATACTATGAAGAAAAATACTAATATATGGTCATTGAGTATTTTGTATTGAATAGTGTATTTGTATTGTAAACAAGTGTAGTGAACCACAAGGCATGAAGACAAATAAAATGACTGTAGCTGGCTTTCTGTGTTGGGCCGAGTAATGATTGTGTCAATG